CCAACCAACACCCATTCCTGTTTAATCAGTTAGTGGTGCACAGAGCAACATGCTGACAGCAGTTTGTGAGAAGCCCAGCAGTGCCCGTGCCCTTAAGCTCCAGCTAACAGCCAGCTCCCCGTCTGAACATAATCATGTATCATTACTTCTCCAATCAATGAAGCAAAACGCCACTCCTGCAGTATTTCATGTCTCGTTTCAACGGTGCTCGTGAGGAGGCTGAGCTCTTTATTTAGGCCTTGTTAGCAAACAAGGAGCTCAGACTGGCAGTGACAGAAATGTAATGCAGAATCATGTGAAAACTCTTTGGGAAAGGTCTGTCCCTGATTCTTCCCCCTTCATTATCTGTCAATGTTGACCCCCATTAACTTTATCTCCAGTGTTTGGTGACAGGTCATTCTCTGGTTTTCTCACATGAGCAGCCCCATGAGTGAAGAGAGTGAATTCTGTGCTAATATTTTCACTGTGTCATACAGAGGCTTTAGCTTATAAATGAAATAAGCTATAACTATTTTATTTATACTTCTTGGAAAACACTCTTATTCACTCTCGCTGAGAGATAGATGAGAAGAATAATACCACTCTTCTGTTTGTGGAGTAAATATGAAGCTATTTTCTTTAATAGAGAGGAAAAGAAAAATGTTACTGTACAGACGTGAGTAGTATTGATCTTCTCATCTAATTCTCAGCAAGAAGAGAGAAAGTGTATTTCCCAAAATGTCAAACTATTCCTTTAAATTATAGGTCATGTTTAATTGGCTTGCTGCAAGCATAACTAAGCTTTAATGTTCAGCTGAAGGTCAGAGTTCACTCTCAGCCAGTTGTCAAAACATTCTCATTACGAGGTCTATTTGTCTGTTGTGGACCTTCTGATCATATCACATGATCTTCATCAGGAGATGGGGTTTGTCCAGTTGTCATGGTATTCTAGATATTCAAATTTCCACTGAATAGAAGACAAGAAAAATGGAAATATCTCTACAGTCCCATAATCTCTAGCTTCTGGTGAAGATCATGTCATATGATCAAAAGCTCCACAACAGACACTAAATGGTGGTGAGATTATTTTATCAATTCAGTTGAGGTCCAGTTTTTATACTGTAGATTGTAAGTGAAATAAGTCTCTTTTTAAATCTAAATAACAAGTTTTCCTTGATTATTCTTTCATGGATTGAAAGAGAGTTTTTTGGAACGATTCCTCTGAATATCTTACATAAGCCATTTGTTCCCTGCTGTAGGATATTATTGTAAATTATGCATCTAGGAAGAATGTGCTGCATAATAATTATGGTTTTTTAGTTTTTTATTCTTGACATTTTTATCCTACTGAGAGATGTTTTAAGTGTAAAAAGAAAAAAAGATATATACAACATACACAGAGCATAAACATCAGTGAGGAACTGGCTGCATTCATGTGAAGCTAATAGAAAAATGGCTGCTTGGGTCTAACATAAATCTACAAGTACTACATATGCATGTATGTATGTGCACAAGTTCTGTGTGCACATACATGTTTATCATACAGTGCGCTGGACTGGACAGACTCCATAATTCACAAGTAGCTTGCAGCAGACAGTCTGGCTTCTGTCATCCCTTCTTGTCAGCTTAACACCGCTGTCCCACAGAGCTAATTTTCATTCCCTCCACCTCATCCTTGACTCTTCATGTCTCCTCTCCATGCTCTGTAAAATATGTATTTTTCCCCCTGAGCCTGAGAACTGATTTCTCATCTGCAGCAGGATGGGAAGACTCTCCAGAGCAGCAATCCCTTATTCCACCTGTCGCAGCAACAACTGAAGCACACACAATCCCGGTCCAGTCAGCAACTGTAAAGCTTGGGATTTGACTGCCAGTTCATCATGTCGGACGGGGTGAAAGGTTGCACTGGAACAACACTTGAGGTGCAGATGAACTAGAAACGCATGACTGCATGTGGTCTCTTCTCAGTCAAACAGATACAATCAAACTCTTTTTTTCTTTTTTTTTTCCTCCACAGAAGGAAAGCAAACATAACAGGCTTGACACTCTCTGCAATCCCCATCAGTCAAAAGTAGGCTTGTCAGGATATTTCAGAATAAGAAGAAGAATGAACATGGCAGTTATATTGGATTTTTTAAATCCATTAATAGGTTGAAATTCTTCCCTGCACTGTGTACTTTAAGATACTGGGGGAATTCATGACTGCTGCAAAGCTGAATTCACGAGCAGATTTGTAATTTTTTCCTTAAACACTCTCTTAGTCTCAGAGGAGCCTCTTAAAAACACACAAACAAGCAAGCTTTGAGGGATGTTTAACAAATAAGAGCCACACACTAGCAGCAGCAGAAGGAGATGATTTCTGCTCAGTAACGTGCCCTGTTGATGATGACTGTACCGATGCTGCCGTGAAGGACACTGTCTGTCCTTGTTTCTTGGTCCTTTTTGTCTTAGTTTGAATGTAGCTGGTTAAAGAGAGCTGTCCATCACTGGTTTCAGTAGTGGAGGCTGACCCAAGCCTGCTGGGAACTGAACTGTAGTTAATTAGTGCACAAAGCCTGGGGGACAAAAGAAACTTCTGGGGGTGGAGGTGATGGGGGAGTTGCTTGGAAGTAGGGGTGTGTGTGGGTGAAGATTTCGGGCGTGGGCGGGGGGTCTTAAGTTTGCAGCACAGAGAGCCTTTTGGGGGGAAAACTTTGTATGTGTGTGTTCCTGTGCGGGCATGGGGGGGTCTGGGGTGCGCGGTGGGTTGGGGGGGGGGTGCTTAAGCAGTGGGAGTGGGGACACACAGACGGATGAATTAGCAGTGTGAAGGGGAGCCTTGTCCCTGAGCTGTGAGCTACTACCAGCCAGCACACACACAATCTCAGCTGGAGGGACAAAAGGCAGAGTGGGTCTGATGGAAAGGGACCTAAAAGGAGAGACTGTGGGACAGAGAGACTGCAAAAGGTCAAAGTATGGCATGAACTAATGAGGGCAGGCAGTCTGTCCAGACACTGCTTTGCACTGAAGACATCACTCTGATGGGTAGTAAACTGTATCGTCTTTCATAAACCTTCCCCACGGGAAACCTACTGTATGTTCCAGCAGTATCCCTGTGGGGCTCGGTGTGTCTGTGCTATGAGTATTGAGTTTTCAGTGGTATTACTGTAGGTCTGCCATAAGACTTTTATTGTGAAATTGATCAATTGGCTCTTACATTTTTTTGCATGGCTTCCATCAGCATGATTCAGTTAATTAGACAAAGTAAAATCTGTGGATTTGCTTTTTGTAAAACCACCATGTGTAACTTAAATTACAAATGATTATTATGCAGGATCAGCCTCAAAGGGCAGTCAGTAACCCGCGGGAGGCGCTGTCTATGAATTTTTATCAAAGCTCGTATTGATGTTCTCCGCCAGTGCGACCACAGTCCATTTAATGCCAGAATTGATCGGTACTCAGCGGCGGTGAGCTCCAGTCCAGGCCGGTGTTACCTGCTGCCAGGACGAACAAACACTGCTTCAGTCTGCTGGCCAACCAACCAGCCGCTTCCTCCTCCTCTCTCCTCGTCCTCCTCCCACCTACTCCCTCTCATCCACCGCGCCCCCCCGCCAGCTGCGTCAAACCAAACATAAACATCCAGGAGAAAGGCGGTAGTCTGGCTGTTTTGACTTCAAAATAAAAGCATAAAGTGTCTTTTGTGTGTGTGTGTGTGTGTGTGTGTGTGTGTGTGTGTGTGTGTGTGTGTGTGTGTGTGTGTGTGTGTGTGTGTGGTGTGGTGTGTGAAAATAAATAACACTTGATTACTAATAGAGCTCATCACCCTAGTTAATCAGTGATGTCAGACTTTTACTGGTGATGTAAAACAGCAGCTGTGACATCACTGGTAGGAATGAGGTCATCATCAGTCAGAAAGCAAAACAGATGCTGTTTTCTTGTAGGTGTGACTCACCTGGCCCTTTAATAAACGTTTTAACGGAAGCAACGTTTCTTATATGATAGCAAACCTTGTATTGTAGGCTATTCTAGTAGTTTAATTCTATCGAGAAAAACATGCCTTGTAGTTGGGTAAATTGGCTGTATTGAATCTAATAAAAAAACAAACAAAACACAAAAAACAATCAGTTAAAATAATGATTTATCATTATAAATCATATTAATTCACAACAAGAATTAATAAGAATGGTCATTATACTGTAGAAGCAAAACGGTCGTGTTTACAGGTTATCTACTTTCTAAGTAAAAATAAAACGAATAGATGGTTCGTATAGACAATATGCACAAAAACTACAACATAGTATAAGACTAGCCTACATACAATAAGAAGAAGAAGAAGAAGAAGGAGGAGAAGAAGAAGAAGAAGAAAAAAAAGAGAGAAGAAGAAGACGAAAAAAGAGAGAAGAAGAAGAAGAAGAAACAGAGAGAAGAAGAAGAAGAAACAGAGAAGAAGAAGAAGCAGCAGCAGCGTGCTATGAACTTGAAAATCTTGACCGGAAGCTTGAAGTTGATTGTGTCCGCTTTGACGCTGCCTGAGCTCCCAGCCCCCTCCGTGTCTCTGTCCCAGTCTTGCCATTCCGACGCACATCTCTCACAGAGGAGCAACAGCTACACGGAGTTGTTCAAAGTGGACTACACACCTCCCCTGCGGACAGAGGCCACTTCACGCCCGGGTTTTCATCCTGCGCTCGCGGAGGGCAGCAGCAGCCCAGAGATGCGCCCCTGGACAGAGGTTCGGTGTCGGTAAAGTCAGATAAAGAGAATGGGACTGAGGCAGGTCGCAGTGTAGAGCTCCTGTAGCAGGAATACCAGGACCTGATTGAATGCAAAATAAAGAAGCGCGCGGCTATTCTTTTTTTTTTTTTTTTTTTTTTTTTCTTTTGAGGATTTCGGTAGAATGGGGCGGTGAGAGCCCCTCTCACAACTGAAGACATGCGAATTGGGAGGGGAACAAAAAGCTCAGCTGCGGGGCTCTGTGTTTGAGTCTCCATCCATCCGAAGGGTCCAGTCTACACACCTTTATTCATGTTGCAAAAGCCTGTTTTATGACAATGGATTACTTGCTGTGGGTGTGCAGCCTCGTCGTCCCCGTGGTGCTGGCTGTGGAAGGTATGTCGTTTTGTGTTTTTATGACTACTTTTGTCTCCCGCAGATGAACAATGGACTGTTGTGGATGTATTAGAATTAGATGATAAAATCGCCTATTGTCCCCAAGAAAAATACCATTAGCAGAAGGAAAACCACATTTAGGGACAGAGAGGACACAGTGTTGGTTTTTTTTTTTACTGACAATTTAATCATGATGGGGTCAGCGCATCACGTCAGTTTAAATAGGCTTCCACATCAGTCATGCTGTTTCTATAGGAGGAATGAGATCTGTGAGCAACACTCCATTCATGTTTTGCCTAATTAAAGCCGTTAATAATAATCCGCTCTGTTAAATAGGCAACTGAGTATCAATTTGCTCTTTGATTGTAATCCATGTACACATGTATCAGCACGGCCCGCTCCCTCTGTGTGTGTGTGTGTGTGTGTGTGTGTGTGTGTGTGTGTGTGTGTGTGTGTGTGTGTGTGTGTGTGTGTGTGTGTGTGATGACATCCCAGTGTTTCCATTGCGGCTGAAGGACTGTCCCTGTTGCTATTGTCCCTGTTGTTGTCACACCCACAAGCTGAGTGAGGATGCCTACCTGCCCCCCCACCCCCCTTCTCCACCCCACCCCATGTTAGATTCACACCAAAGACAATCTGGAGAGAGAGGGGGTGGGGTGGGGGGGTTGGGGTGGTGGTGGGTCCCTCCTTGACTGTCACTGTAAAGTAGAAATACACTGACTCCTCATATGATGCATGTCAAAGCATTTAAACGGGCTGCTGAGTTCAGGCACCGATCAGTGCTGTGGACGCTTAAACACAGACCAGAGCAGATCAATCCCGGCCCCTGGAGCGCAACAGGGACACACATGTGAAATATATTAGATGACAAGTGTGAATTAAAGGTCAATGGCTTAACAAGTATGCACCAGTCCCCAAAGCTCTCTCCATGATCGAGGGAGTGTTGCTCCAGGGAGAAGCCCACCCTCGCCCAGCGCTGCTCCCCACCCAGCGATTCCTCTCTGAGCTGTAGCTACATTTCTCTGCCTTGCCTCCTTCTTTTCCCTCCCTTGTCCAATCTGCCTCTCCTGGACCGTGGCCAGCCTGATCCCTCATCAATTTTGGTGTCAGCAAGTAAATCAATGCAGCGGCAGCAGCACTCCAAGTCCCAGTGGGCTCTCACGGCGAGATGATCAGTCCCGTTTCCCCAACCTCGCCACTAACTGTTACTCAAAGCTCAGGGGTTAACTAATGTTTGTCCTCTGAGAATAAACATGAAGGGCAGATGATCGGATGGGTTTAAATGAGGGGGAAAAGGGAGGCCTTTTTTTTTTTCAGCCAGTTACATGTCGTTTTTTCGCTGCTTGCTCAGTGGATTTCACCACATGGCTTGAATCTGAAATTTGTTTTTTCAGACTGGCAAGTGTTTGCGCATGGATGATGCAAGCTGGACTGCAACTTGAAGTGTGTGCTTATTTACAAAAGCTACAGTGATGACTTATCTCCAGTTCGCACCAACACACTGCAGTAAAAGCCTCAGCAATTGTGACATTTTTATGCTGTATTAATCCCATTTACAGTCAAGCGTTTACTGTACTCTTATTTTAAAAGCTCATAAAGTAGATGGATGACCACTCAGAGAGCATTTTGAAAAATAGTCTGCATGATGTTTATGTGTGAATGGAAGAAAAACACAAAGCATCGACTTTTGAGATGATTTTCACATTAATAGAGAGCTTCATTTACATTTTTTCCTGCTGTCTATACATTAGAACATAAACAAGAATAATGATTCGTTGACCTGTAAAAGCAGATGCAAGCCGGCCTGAAGAGAGATTGAATTAGGTCAGCTTGACTTGTTCAAAAACTGCTCATCAGTCGTCAAACTGAGCATCACATTCGACTGTTCTACGGAGAGAAACATGCACTCAAATACAAATGAACCCTTGCTTTGAATGAGCTCAGAGTTTTTTTTAAGACAAAACCCCAGGTTCTTTTTACACATATTTATAGCCACACATTTGATCACGCTCGGATCACTGATGATGATGAGGATGTTTGGGTGTTAATATTTCATATGTTTGCTTGTTGGCAGCGAGTGTCAGTGTAGTACAAGGCGAGGCCTCCCTTTCATGATGCACCCGCTCTCACAAAGTGAATAAAACATTAGCATGTGTGAGCTCCCAAAGCGCACTGAGAATGCAGAGTTGTGTGGCATTTTGGCTCCAGCGGGCGATCAAAAAAAAAAAAAAAAACAGTAAATGCCACGGGTGGTGATGCTCTAAAGTTCCCACTGCAGCATTGTTTTCTTACCCCAGGGGCAGAATGACTCCACCGCTGCTGTAGTTTTATGAGAGAGGGGGGAGATTTCTGGATTTGAGTTATAGGAGCGAGGCAATCTCAGAGGCATTGTAAATTTAACGGGAAAGCGAGAGAACTGTGGAACAAATGGGATCTTTTTCAATCTTAACCGGTTTCTGAGATTTAGTGAGTTGACGATATCACACTTTGGTGGAGAGAGTCGTAGTCGAACGAAAACCTTTTTTTAATACTGAAATTTTAGTGTTCTTAAAGGCAACATGGGTCTGGACTCAGATGTTAAGCTTGAAGATACACAGTCATTCCCTCCCGCTGGCTAATCTAGTTTTTGTAAAAACACTATGTTTCTTTAAAATATTTTTAGAGAAATTCTCCTTCTCTTGCTCCACATGGAGGTCAAAGGTCAGGATGCAGGCTGGCACCTCTAGAGCCGCTGGGGATTCGGTATCTTGCTCAAGAATGCATCTGCAGGGTGAAATCCTGCAACCATGGGGGCTTGAACCCAGCTTCTACAGATGTAGGATGGTCCTCCCGCTGCCCCTGTATGTGCATTGTGTGAGGTGAAGCCTGTTTAAAGGAGCATCAGCTCAAAACCTGTGGTTAGCTGAGGCTGAGTGATTCTGTGTTGCCTCTGGGCACCGGGAGAGGTGAGGGACGGGGCGACGAACCAGATCAGACACCCAAGGGATGGGCTGGATCCATGGATCACCAGCAGCAAGTATGCCAGGAGTGTTCAGTCAGCTGTGTGCCACCGAGGGTAGAGTGTAGCCAAGCAAAGACAACAGCCGCTGATTTCCCTGATTAGTTCCTCCTCTCTGGCTCAAGTTGTGCTAATCAGTAAAACAACCTTGTTCACAGACGTATATTTGGGTTCGACAACCGAGGTTATTAACTGCTGTCACTCATGTCCTTATGCACACAAATGTAAAACGGAGATTGCTTTTATAAATGACTATCAGGACTTGCTTTTGTATTCAAAGCTCTGTCAGTTAATGCAGTTTTTTGGTGCATAAATAGCACTTATTAAATAAAATGCAGAAGTAAATGTAATTTCCATTGTTAACAAAGATGGAGGCAGCCACTTATTTTTTCCTTTTTAAATTAAACTACTTTATGCAGCTGTTAATTCCTGCCCACTTTTTCCTTTCTTAAAATACTGTTATCTGCACATAAAATATTTCTGTTTAAGGCTAAAAATCACATGCTTAGTTAATGTAGAATTCCTGTTGCTCCCCATTAAGAAATGATAGAGTGACTATGAGTTTAAATGTGATGAGTTAATGCTTAATGGATCATCACTTAATGATTGTTAATTCAAATACTTAATGCACTAATATGCCACTAAATTAGCTGAGATGAAATTACATTAAAAAGTACATTTCATGAATTTGATCAGCTTGAAATCTTAAGTGTAGTTGCTCTAACGCGAATACGAAACTGGTAGTTATATGCAGACATGTTGCTGCATGACCCAACAGTCATCCATGGTAGTTGATGATCTGTCAAGCATTAGCTAACCACACAACCTCAGAGGGACACTTTAATGGTGAAAATCCTGCATTAATTTATGCGTTAAATCACCATGAATGATGCTGCAGCTGTGCATAACTTAAAGGAAAAGTTAAACATTATATTTGCTTTCTTGCCAGAAGTTAGATGACAAGATCAACACCACTCTGATGTCTGTCGTCTAAATATAGAGCTGGAGCCAGTTAGCTTGGCGTAACATAAAGGCTGGAAACAGGGGGGAAGCAGCTAGCCTTCCTCCGTCTGAAAGGAACAAAATGCTGCTCCCAGCACTTCTACATATAGGCTAACTTATTAACACTTCTTATTTAGTTTAATTTGTACAAAAATCTAAATCTAAACACGTCAAGCAGCCACTTTAGAGGTGGGTAAATGCTGGACTATTTCATTGGTCAGGACCCGTTGCTAAGTAGATCTGCCTGCTAAATATGAAGCTACAGCCATCAGCCAGCTAACGTAGCTTAGCATACAGACGGGAAACATGCAGAAAAAGCTAGCATGGCTCTGTCCAAAGGAAAGAAAATACCATCACCTGTAAAGGTCATTTATTAATGTCAGATCTTGTTTGTTTAATTTGTACAAAAACTGAAGTATAAAACTAACAAATTGCCATTTTATGTGTTTTTCCATTTTGGATTTTGTATGGATTAAAATGAGATATACCATTTTAATTAGTGATTGTTAGAGTTGCTTGGAGGCAGATTTTGTTCTCTTCAGACATAGACAGGCTAGCTGTTTCCCCCTCTTTCTAGTTTTTACCATATAAGCTCAGGACAAGAGGGTGAATAAGTCCCACAATGTCAAAGTATGTGCTATTATAAAGAGTTATGAAATTTTGGATCAGCCTCTGACCATGATGGACCATGGTCAGCCAAACCTGCCATTATTTTGAAGGGGAACATTGCATATGTAGTTTATCATTGCACATCAAATACCGCTTGTCAACTCCTGCTCCCATTTACACAGACAGTCAAGCTAATTTGCACAGGGACTAAGAACAAAAGGAAGTCTTACTGCTTGCTTTTGGTCTGATCTATAAATGCAGTGCGAATGTGACCACATGAAGCACTCAAAAGACCATTTAGTTCATATATGATCGCTGCCTTTTTACTGTCTTTGGTTGGCTTCTCTTGCCTCTCCATGGCACACAGTAGAAAACCACAGACGTAATCTATCCTGTTGGATACAGATCACTATTCATTATCTCTCATCCTCTGAAAAGAAGAAAAGCCATTGTGGTTTCTCTAATGAACACAGAGCACAGACTGTAAACACAGCACATAACTCTAGCTCAGCAGCTACAGATGGACCAGTGATCTACTCACTCAATCAAACAACTTTTATTATTGACACACTATAGCCAAGGACACACTTTTCCTGTAACTGCACTGTTTTCAGTCTTTAAAGCAAAACACCAACCATCAGCATTGTGGGACCAGAACAAAGCCATGTGTCTTGGAAAGAGTGCTACTGCTGCTCTACACAGGGCATGCTATTTGTTTACCCTCTCACACCGTCCTTTAGCGCCGTTATCAACGATGTGTGAGCAAATGGTGCACAGCAGGCGTTGTGTCATTGAGTCTCCATGAAGAAAGTGTAATTGTTTCGGTAATTATGTGCTAACAACAACGGAGCAAGGAGAGCCAAACGCGTCCGCAGCTGTATATTGAAATCCCAGCGAGGAGTCGCTTCTTCTTCTGAGGTGCAGTGAGCTCGCTGGACCACCAGTCAGGTGACAGCTGATTGACAGCCTGACACAACAATGCTCATTGATCCTGCTGTTTATTCTCAGCCTCTCCTCTGATTGTCTGCCCCGCTCTCACCTCCCTGCAAAGTCATAAAAAAAAGAAAGCTAGGCGAAGGAAACATTGCTCAGATCACCTGTTAACTCAGATTTGACAATGCTCAGTCAAAAGGCGTCACATTTCTGGCGCTGCCGGGTGTTTTTTGGGTGAAAGCCTGCCCCAAAATGTGTAATATTAAATTTCCTTGTGCTTATATGACCTGTCTGAACTGGTGCTTGCTAATGGAATATTTCCCACTGAAGGCATTTTTGGAAGAGGCTTTGTTCTTAGTTCCACAAATGAATATTGAAAGAAGTGCACTTGCGAGTGCCAGGCACACACACCACACACACACACACACACACCACACACACACACACGCACACACACACACACACACACACACACACACACACACACACACACACAGAAAGCCTTAATTAGGCAGCATCACAAGTATGCCATGATTGTCAGTGCTTTCAAAAACTGAGTGCAAGTGGGTGGAGGTTATGAAAGAGAAAGAGAGGAAGTCTTACCTGCATCCTTTGTTGAGCAGAGAGAACTTGTGTGTGGTCTTAAATGCTGTGCAATGATTTGGTTTTTCTTCCTCACACCATTTAATTCAGTTTTGTCAACCTTCCTCCTACTCTTAATTTGCAGAAACCCTTATGGACAGTCGGTGGGCAACCACAGAGCTGGCTTGGACCACGTTCCCAGAGAGTGGGGTGAGTTAGTGTGTGTGCATGTGTTTAGCTTGTTTTGTGTTCCTGTTTTTTTCTTCTTTTAACAACATTTGTTCCATTTGCTTGTTAATAGAGCCCAGTCTGCCTTGAACAGCACACCTCCTACTGTTTTATATCTTTGTTTTTGCAGTGTATGTTTGCTTTCTTGGATACTAAAAAGCAAATGAGAACCACAGCGTGTGACATTGTGTGGAGATTTTTTGTATTTAGAGAAAGTAAATGTAAATGTAAAAGATTCGAAAAGCTGCATAGAATATGTGCATATTGCTCTTTAAACAAAAAGATGCACAGATACACAAAGTAAATCCCCACAGTGTGTCAGGACTATAAGGTAGGCTCTACCTTGCATGTCTCCCCAGGATAGAGAGCCTGATAATTGAAAGCATGTGTCTGTGTCTTTTATAATATGGGCCCAAGAGCGCATTACAGGCAGAAATTAAGGTTTTCAGTTGATACCCCCTATAGGAACGGTGAGAAAATAAAACAACATGAATTTGACCCCAGGGCTAACAGCCTGACAGACCTCCCCCACTCCCGGCCAGTGTAATTTGTCTTCGCTACGTGAGCGCAAAGTCAGTCAATGGAAATGGTGGGTTTCCATGGAAACGATGGTCGGCAGCCCCGGCTCCTTCCTTTTCCCTACAAGGGCCGGCTCTGAATGTCCTAGCATCCATGAAGTCATATGTCACGACTGGCGAGGCAGCCCCTCTCCTCAAGCCTGACAAGCCCATACGTTTGGGGGCCAGCAATTATCATATTTGTCAGGTAGTGCATCAACGTGTTGCTGGTGATTTACGACGTCTAATGCTGACTCTTGGGCTCATCGTTTGGGAATAAATTGCACAGGAGCTCAGAGACGTGAAATGAGTTATGCATTATTTTCTTCCAGTTGAAATAATCAATTTCTGGGAAGCTCATTTGTTATGGAAACGAAGCATTCAGTCCAAGGGGGAATTAGGAAAAAAAATCAAGATTGACTTTTTCGCAAGGTTATTTCCTAATGGACTAAATTTATTGACCAATGAAGCCATTTATCATAGACTGTAATGTTAGTTACCAGATACGAAGACCAGTGTTACCAACAGATAAAACAATGGGTCCGATTTTTAATGTTGACTCACAGACAGGAATCATGTCCACGTCATGTTAGTCTTTAAAAAGCTATTGTCAAAACCACATGATGTAGAAATATATTAGTCACAACAACTGCAAATGCCACCTTCAGGCTACATGTGTAGGCATTGGACAATATATATATATATATATAACAAATTCTGCATAACCTGAAGTGGTCAGGAGTGCTGCCACGGTGCAATCACACTGGCAGCATTGCATTTAGATGGCCATTTTAATAAATAACTCACTGTTTGCATCATAGATCTATGGGGGATGTTTCCATTTAAAACGTACAGTTTGATACTCTCATCTCTCTCAGCACAAATAAGAAATTCATATGTTATAGAAACTAAATCTCCTCTTGAGGCTGCTGTGATTGCACTGCAGCAGTTGTACTGTAGATGTGAGCGCCGTGGTTCGTTTCATAGCTACTGTAACAAACCGCAGACTTTGGTAAAGTCCTCACCGAAGTGCACACACGTGACCAGCATCAGAAGTGTTCGTCAAACAGGCGTAATGTGTGAAATGTGTTTTAATGGGAAAATGTTTTCTATTAATAGTCTGTAATGATTGGAATTTTCTGAATGATTCATGCAATTAGAAGCATTTTAGCTGCAAATTATTCCTCGCAGGGCACGAGTACACAAGACACTGTGGGAATGTGTTGCCGTGTGCATGTGCTGCATTTTGATATTCTGTTTGCATCAGACGTCACTTCTCTGTTTTCAGTGTCCTCTATGCTTGAATGGTTTGCATTAGGACGCACTGCATTTAACATTACTCAATACAAATTAACAACACATTGGATAAGTGAGTTTATGCTGTAGCTCAGTAGCTTTTGGATGACAAATAGAATTGTTGTTGCATTAGGAAAAAGCATTAAATAATTCAGTTTTAAATCAGTTCAATTTTGTCTCACTTATTCTTAAACCTACTCTATTCTTCTGTCCATTTTGTCTTAATCAGTGGTCGATCCCTGCTGCCGTCTCTTCCTTTGTCACAGTGTCTCTGTTGTTTCCACAGTGGGAGGAGGTGAGCGGCTACGATGACTCCATGAGCCCAATCAGAACCTACCAGGTGTGTAATGTCAGACAGCCCAACCAGAACAACTGGCTGAGGACGGACTTTATCCCCCGGAAGGGAGTGTTGCGCGTGTACGTGGAGCTCAAGTTCTCTGTCCGTGACTGCGCCAGCATCCCCAACATCCCCGGCTCCTGCAAAGAGACCTTTAATCTGTTTTACTATGAGTCAGAGGGGGACACAGCCACAGACACCAGCCCTTTGTGGAGGGAGAACCCCTATGTGAAGGTGGATACTATTGCCCCGGATGAGAGTTTCTCTCTGCTGGAGGCAGGCAGGATCAACACCAAAGTGCGCAGCTTTGGCCCCCTCTCCAAGGCCGGCTTCTACCTGGCGTTCCAGGACCTGGGCGCCTGCATGTCTCTCATCTCAGTCAGGGTTTTCTTCAAGAAGTGCTCCACCACCATCGCTAATTTCGCCGTCTTCCCTGAGACTGCCACTGGGGCAGAAGCCACTTCCTTAGTGATCGCTCCGGGGGCCTGTGTGACCAATGCCATGGAGGTGTCCGTCCCTCTGAAGCTGTACTGCAACGGGGACGGCGAGTGGATGGTTCCTGTGGGTTCCTGCACCTGCGTCGCTGGCTTTGAACCTTCTGCAGACAGCACTCAGTGCCAGGGTATGTGTATTTAACAGACATTTGGACTTTTATTTAACCAAACCTTCTTTATATGCTCAGTGCAAGTCACCTCAGTCTGTGCCCTCTTCTCTGCATTTATTGTGTGGCTCCTGAAAGGGGGTGAAGGAGGGTGGAGGAGAGTATGAATTAATGAGGTGTTGCAGAGAGGAGCAGCATACAAATATTGTGAGAGCAGGACAGGGGGAAGAGAAAGATAGCGGGAAGGCACAAAATAGAAAGAGCCAATAGATTTGTGTGAGGAAAATGCAGATAATAGAAGAGAAAGGCGTTGGATGTCCAGAGAAGAGAGATATTAAGAGAGATAGTGTGAGTTAAGAGGTGTGAATTGCCAAAGATAGGACAGGAACAGCAGCCAAAGGAGGAGAATGAAAAGGGAGGGCGGAGGGGGGTTACAGGAAGTCAAAGACAGACAAGTGAAGCCTCCTCTCACCTGGGCGTGAGAAATAGTGTCTAACATGCGCTAGAGAGCTCATTCGTTGCCATTTGGCGGCTCAAGGTTAAAAGCTTGCCGCCAATGCCTGATAAAAAACTCTCTAGGGCTTCAGCCAGCGGTTGCGATGAGGAAGTGTAATTTCCTCTGCGGCCTCCCGTTAGTTAATCTACAGGCGGCCACGCTCATTAACACCATTCAGACCAACGTGAGCCAACACTGCCACGCTAACATTAATCACTCAGACATTTCATTTCTTACCTCAGTCTGGCCGCTTGCTCGCTCGCTTGCTCACTCGCTTTCTCACTTGCTCGCAGCCAAACACCGCATGAGATAGAGAGAAGGCGAAGAAGAAGAGGAAGAAAGGAGAGGAGAGACAATAGAGGGGGAAAGGAAAACATTAGTGTATCAAAAACAGGAAAATCATTGTGCCCTCCAAAGAGGTTAATGGATTGAAGCAAGACGGTGGCGTGATTCAACACCCCCTTGAAAAGACGCAAGGAAAACAAACAAATAAAAGAAAATAATGATGCACTGTGTAATAGGAGAAAAATAAATCAGATCAGAGTGTGTAGAGCCTAAAGGTCTCGGTGAATTATGAGAGGAGAGAAAAAAAAAATAAAAAGTACATTTTCATCTCATCTTCTTTGGCTTTTTATTGCTTGGTTTTAGAGCTACAGTGTGGGGCCATTAGCTGTGCTGATTTTCCTAAAAGTGCCATTGTTGGGAATTAGGGTGGAACTTGAGTTCAAACTGAAAGACCACTTAGCCTAACTAGTTAATCACACTCTCTCTCTCACTGGCTGGCTTTTATGAGCCCTCACGCTGACAGGACAGATGTTTGCCAGAGACCCCACTTTTACACCACCAGTCAGGAATGTGGGAAACAGTAAAACGTGGGGCTCTGGAGGCTGATATATCCAGACCTTTTGCTGCTAATCCCCTTTATCTGAATCCTCCTTTAGTCTAGGCTTATGCTGGTTTATCCTTAAGACTCGATATCAGCCAACCTTCAGCGTGACACTTTGGAATTCAAATTAAAGGCTTGGACACATCATCTTTGTATATTTTTCTAATAACTCTCCTCAGCTAATTTACGTCGAGTCTGATGTCCCTTCATTTGCATTGATTTATGAGCTTATTATGGAGCTGTTCTGCATGCATGTGGAGGACTTGTTTGTATTCAGTGGTGTGGTTTGGAGAGCTGAGGACTGAACAGACATTGATTGATGGGTTTAGGGTGTATCCCTTTTCTAAGAAGCATTCTCCGTCCCTGTTTGTCTGACAACAGCAATCTCCTGTCAGTAGTCTATCTTCATCTTTATCCTCCTTTTCCTCTTCTTCAACATGAAACTTTGCTGTCATCCCGACTCTTTTTGGGGAGATTAATGTCACCTGGTGAAGAGAGTCAGAACGAAAGAGCAGATGCAAATGTACAGATAAGACCTCATGCTTATGTGTACACCACTCCTCACATACGTATCAGCATTTTCTCCATAAATATTGAGCTTTGCAGGTACTTCACAGGCACCGCTTTTCTTCTGTGACAGATGTGACACCCGCTTGTCTTATAGATAAGTGACAGCAAAGAGTCTTTTTTTTTTTTTTTTTTCTTTCTCATTGTCCTCTGTATTTTCTCTCTCGCCCATTCAGCTTGCATCCCCGGAACCTTCAAATCCAAATTCGGGGAGGGATCCTGCGCTCCCTGCCCGTCCAACAGTCGCACCAGTGCACGAGGAACCAATATTTGTTCCTGCCAGAATGGCTTCTACCGTGCTGACAGCGACCCTCCTGACTCTGCCTGCACCAGTAAGTCATCCTCCGCTGCACTGACCAAAAACAAAAAGAAAAAGAAAGTCGGAGAAGGACTTGAGTGAGGAGTCAGGTTGTATGTTTAGTCTAAAATTAAAATGAAATCATCAGCATACTGTATATCTTTGGTCTTTATTTGAACTCAAGAATGTCATTCCCCAGCAGAAGAACTTATCATTACAGTTCTTATTATTTCATTTTCTGCCGTCATGAGGCCCTCTACACTGGGGTTCAATTGAGTGTGAATTTTGACTGTGATGGTACTGTGATGATTTGATTATTTTACAATTAATTTACACTTCACAGTAACATTTATTGTAATATCTGTTTGAACAGGCGCTAAAATAGTTTGTAGCAGCTCTGTGGTTCCAGTGTACACACAGGCAGGTAACCACTTGGGATGCAAACTGTTGCTTTTTGCCCAAAAAGTACCTTTTTAGTTGAAGAATAACTTTTATTTTCTTAGACAAAAAGAGAAGAGAATTCAAATTTTCTGTTCAGCTTTATGAGAAATGACAAATCTGCAGCTGCCTGTCAACAGTTCACCTGGAAAATGTGCGTTTGGTGGTAACTGGTCTGGTCTGGTGCTGACTGCAGCGTCCATGCTCCTGCATGCACAGGCCTCTGAGAGGAGTCCAGCAGTCGCGCTGATAGAGAGGGACATGTGCTGCCTTGACCGTGTAAAATCGCCCCCCAGGGGGCTTTCGCCACGTTAAGTGACACACATGGCCCACAACTGTCTTCCCCAGATCCTCGTCACAGGAACACTGTGAACTCTGACATTGACCAGTGCACACAGACAGGCGGACAGGGACACCGCAGACTAAACACACACACACACACACACACACACACACACACACACACCAAAAAACAGGCCTGACAGTTCTGTCCCTGCGGTCTGTCAGAGCTTGTGCCAGGCAGCCTGCGCTTTGTGTTGGTGGTGGTGTGTTGCACAAGAGAGGCTCGGCCAGTCAATGGCCGGCAGCTTGGACTCAGCGTGTGTTTAAGATGGGTGTCCAATTAGAAGAGCCTCCACTCTGAACTGTGTCTGCCTAATTAGAAAGGACAGGGTGAGTGAAATGCGGTTCACGGCGAGCCGGCTGAGGAGATGTGGACAGGACGTTTCGGCTGATGGCCCTGATGCCCCCCCTTGTCTCTGCTTTGAGACAGGTTAGACTTTCTCTGGCTGGAAGCTTAGAGGGAGAGCCCCTCTCTCTTCTCTGGCTGTAATAGGATGAAAAGCACATTCGCTGAACCAATCTTTGTTGCCTCCCTCTGTGGTTATCATACTTTATCCAGGTTTCAAATACTCTTCACTCAAAACGCAGCACCGCTTATTGAAACGAGTTGGCCTTGGGTTATACTGATACTAGAACATGAATTTCTATCATGAGTGGATTAACCAAGTTCCACAAGCACCAAGAAGGGTTATGCATAGAAATGGACATGGGCTACAACTGTAGTGCTGCACAGGACTGTGTATTTCTTTAAACAACATTACTTAGTGATGAATGGTGGTGTTGTGCTTGTGCATGACAAGATGTGCTTATCCTCCTGTTTCTGAATTTGTTGATTTATTTATTTGCACCAGGAAGGATTTTTCCCTGTTGTTATGTTTTTACGTGTTTCCATGCCCTTTGCTCAATACTGAGGATTTGTTTGGGGCATGTAAAGCAATCTAACACATGTATTTGTGCAAAAGGATTTTATAAAAAGAATAGGATTACATTCTCTACCCTCTGAACGTGTAATTCTACCTCTTGTTGCCTTCTTACAAAACATTTCTCTCACCATTGAGGGAGGATAATGTAAGCACTGCATAGGGAACATAACTAGCGCCTCAGTTGTGTGTTTTTCTAGTCTGCCTGCCCACCTTCTTAAACACCTACATGTGTCTGTGCGTCTGTGCAGCTATCCCCTCAGCGCCGCGCAATGTTATATCCAGCGTGAACGAGACCTCGCTGTCCTTGGAGTGGGAGGAGCCCGAGGACACAGGCGGGAGGAGCGACCTGGTCTATAACGTGGTGTGTAAGAAATGCCTGAGAGACCGGAGCCCCTGCACGCGCTGCGACGACAACGTGGACATCGCCCCTCGCAGGTTGGGGCTGAGGCAGAGGAAGGTGGTGGTGAGGAACCTGCAGGCTCACACGCGCTACAGCTTCGAGGTGCAGGCTGTCAACGGGGTTTCTGGGAAAAACCCCACCTCACCCAGCTACTCCACAGTCAACATCACCACCAACCAAGCCGGTTAGTAGAAGAGGATCTGTCAATAACAGTGAATGTGTTTCCAAACCAAGTTAATTCATAGAGGCCACTCCAATCAATACCGTTTAACATCACGATGAAACAGGCAGGTTAGTGGATCCTACGTTCAGTCAATGTCAGTGAATGTCTTAATGAGCTCTCATTGTCCAGAGCAGTATTAACATCAACAGTAAACATTGTTGAACAAGCTCAGAGAGAGCGGCAGCTGGGAAAACTCTCAGCTGGAGCGCCGCTTTACTGAGCGAGTTACAAGTAAGGTGGATAAAAACTTAGAGTATTCAGTATCTCCACTGTCAGCCAGGAGTCTCGCGTTATATCACTGACAATGTCACCTTTCAACATCTCCACTTAATATTTGCAGCATCATCATCAACCAAACTGCTCAGCACCTCTCACAGTCTGTAATTACTCTCCCAGTTAACCTGCACTTAATCCACCTTACTGCAGTTTATGGACCCGGGACAATGACTGTCAGTTGAGTCACTTTCAGGCCTCACAAATCAATAAACTGCAGAACAGTGAAGGTGAAACATTGTGCCGCTTTTCTTAAACCGTTCTGGTTGAAGTATTTTGAATAATAATTATCTTACTGTGATGGTTTGAGACTTCAAAAGAGAAAATCTTGGCAACTTCAGAGCTTTACAGCAATGAACCCCCCCCCACACACACACACACACACACCACGACTCGCAGATGTAGTAAGTTTCCAGTGCCAGCCTAACATAAAGCTGTCCTCTGTGGTGTCCACCCACAGCGCCTTCAGCAGTGCCCACCGTCCATCTGATGCGCTCCACCTCAGACACTCTCAGCCTGTCGTGGCTGCCGCCCGAGAAACCAAACGGGGTCATCCTCGACTATGAGATTAAATACCATGAGAGGGTAAGCTCTGACTTTTTATCTGTTGCCTTTTTCAGCATTTTTATGGATGCTCAAAAATGTAATATTGAAATATGATGTATGTATGTGTGTGTGTGTGTGTGTGTGTGTGTGTGTGTGTGTGGGGGTTGGTAGAGTCTAGAAATGTCTATTGTTGTATGAGTATGGGGCAGCAACTGGTGAAGTAATGCATCATTGTTATTGCTCAAACTTCCTAGTAAAGTCCTGCTGATCTAATACGGACGTTTTATAAACTTTGATGGTAAAATTCCCGACCTCAGACTGAAAACAGCACTGCTATGTAAGGGTCGGTGTTTGTGCGGATGTTGCTTCAGGTACCAGAGAAACAATGTCAGTTTTAGTAATAGGCCCATTTGTTTGGGGGCTTAACGGATCAGGAAGGATTTCTCATCAGTGGAAAGTTAAAGAAGCAACATCATGTCGTTTAAACAATAATTCTGAAGCGACTGGTAGATTACACTGTTCACATACACGCAGTATTTCAGGTGCATTTGCCTGTATTTCATTAGCTCAGCTTTGCTGGATGACTTCACATTGAACTGTGACTAAACTTGATCCAGGTTCAACTCTGTCGCTGGACGACCCCGGATTTTTGAAAGTAATGAAGTGCAGATGTTCAGTACACGTATGAACAAATCGTTATCGAAAACCTTTGACACAAACCCCCAACCGGAGCTCCAGTTGACTGAAAGAACCATTCAGCTCAACGGGGATAGGCGTAATGTTATTTCTATATTTAAAGTTTCTTAAAGAAACTGAACTGAACTTATTACTGAACAGTGATGCAGTTGATTAGCTCAGACAAAAACTTAAACTGAATAGTCAGTTTCTACACATCTTTGAACTGAACGGACTGAAATTATTCTGATTTGCAAGGTGATTAATAATTGCCACTTCTACAGTGGGATTGCAGTTTTTCATTCAGTGCTAATGTTGGTCTTCAAACGTAGACTGTAAGGTTTCTTAAACACTCAGCACTTTGGCTAAATGTGACACAGGATAAGCGTAAATGCTCAAACATACCATAACAGAAGCACAATCTGAGAAGAATCATAAAGTCAGAAAACTGAATCAGCAATGTTGATTAGCCTTATCTGTCTTAAGTTAGCATTAGCAACATTAGCTACTGGCTGTACCAGACAGAGAAAAGCCATGGAAGCAAAACCTGTGTTTTCAAAAGCTAACTTATAGTTTAGCTAACTCACAGTGACCACAAGTGACAATTACAGGATAAACGTAACTGAGAAAATGTACTGTAGCTGTAGCGCAAGAAGAAAATAGTCAAAATTAACTTTTGGTTGCAGGGCAATTAAGTAAGATTCGGCTAGCATTAGCCACCACAAGCTACCACTCACACCTCACTAAGAAAAGATGTAGCAGCCAATCCATTAAGTTTATTGAAATGAACCATGGTGCATTTTATCATGAATTAAACTTTTAATTTGTTGGAGGAAGATTGTGTTATTTGATATATTTAATTTGACTGCGTTATATTATATAAGAGGGATTCTTCACCCACAAGCCATCTGAAAATGATAATGAAACACTTGCTGCTTTAACAGTCCTTTTTTTTGTACTTCAGGGCCAGGCGATGTCGCACACCGTAACAGCCCAGCACAGCTCAGCTAAGGTGGAGGGTCTGAGGGCTGCAACGCCCTATGTGGTGCAGGTCAGAGCTCGCACTGTTGCCGGATACGGACGCTACAGCAACCCCATGGACTTCAGCACCAGCCTACACAGTACGGACAACCTCTCCCCTGCTTTACAGTCTGTTCTTGATGATCCGCTGCTACAATTTTCTTAATGAGGGCTCCAGCTTAATAGTTTTTATGGCCACCTTAATTGGTAGCCATTACACATGCAGAACAGGCCACCCTTTAATCTCTGAAGTAGTGTTTCTGCTGTTATCTACTCATTTGTGTCTGTATGTGTGTTATTTGGTCCAGGTGACCCTCAGAAGTCGGTGCAGGACCAGCTGCCTCTCATCATCGGCTCGGCCTCTGCAGGTCTGGTGGTCATTGTTGCCTTGGTGGTTATCGCTGTTGTCTGCCTTAAGTAAGTGTTTGATTTTTATTACTGACAGCTTGAACTACATGTTTCCTTTGGTTAGTTAGGCTCTTAACAAAGAGGCTCATTAAATTTTAACATGCTTTCAAAGTGTGTATACTCACTCTTTAGCTTCAAAAAGGAGGTAAAAAACCAGAGCTGCCCTGTGAGTTTCTTCTGTGGCAGTCTGCAGTTTCATCTGTTGTCGAGTTAGATATTAGTTTTGCAATACCTGGAAAGGGTCAAGGCTGATTATGTGAATGTGACTTTGTTTATGTGCTACTTGTTTACAGGAAGCAGCGCAGCGGCTCAGAGCTGGAATACACCGAGAAACTGCAGCAATACAGTAAGCGTGTCCTCTGTGGCCCTTTGGTCATGCCTGTACAGTTAACCAACTGATTCAATCAATTATCCAATCACCTGATTCAGGCAGAAAACCATTCCACTGTTTGCTCAGAGCAAGTCCAGACCAGATAGATCAGCTGAGTTGAAAAATAAAGTAGAGACATGTAGAAGACGGCTCCTAGGTTTGCCTTTTGACCTAAAAGGTATTTTCCTTTAAATAAGTCAGTATTATCATATTTGAATACAGTTTTAAGAATTTAATATAATGATATCAAAGTATCATTTCCAAAATTTAGGTTTTCCATTAATAATTGCAAGCAAAACATTTCTGGGTGTGTCACTGTGGCCTACAGGCTAAGACAAACTGCAACATTCCTGGTCATTCCTTGCTGCATGTGACCCAACCTCCGCCTCTCTTCATATTCCTTCATGTCTCATGTATCGCATTAGAACAGACTTGATTATATGTCAATTTAAACACATACTGTAGCTATATTGTGATATATATATATATATATATATAGTTGTTGAGATATCTCAGTCTGGAACGGGAGACAGACAGACTAGCCACTAAGCTAATGTGGCAATATCATGTGTCATATCACCCAGCCTTACACAGATGCTTCTACCTTTTAACAGATATATTTATAACATGCATTGTGGATGCTGACTTCTCTTTGGCTTTTCCCCTCTCAGTTTCTCCAGGGGTCAAAGTGTACATTGACCCTTTCACCTACGAGGACCCCAACGACGCCGTCCACGAGTTTGCCAAAGAGATAGACATCTCCTGTGTGAAAATAGAAGAAGTCATCGGTGCAGGTAAACAACGTTGTTGTTTTTGTCCAAGAGGATGGAGAATGAATCAGGTTTATAAATCATTTATTTGAACAGGCGTGTGCCATCAAGCCCCGAGGACTGTTCTGTAAGAGAGTCCTCTCTGGGAGAAAAGGGTTAGGATACAGAGTGCACATGAGAGCTGTGGGTGGGAAGGATTCAAGTGAAAATCTTTTCTGTAGCTCTTCCCCCTCTAGTCTGTTTTTTTTTTTTTTCTTTTTCTCTCCAGCGGCATGTTGTATCCTAACTTCACCTCAAATGACAGTCTGCTCCTGCTCGTTCAACCTTCCTCCCTCCTTGTCTTTTCTTTCTTTCCTTCTCTTTCTCTCTCCCTTGTAAATATTCGTACTCAGGCACCACATGCAAAACCCCCAGGTTCCTCACCCGTCCTCTGTCTCCCTCCACCGCTCCCAGGTTGCACACTCGATCGATACCAGTCACTCCCTCTCTCCCCAACATCTCTGACCTCTGACCTTCCGTCTTCTCCTCTTCTCTTTTCTAATCCTCTCCCAAAGTTGACGCCGACCCTCAACTCTTTCAAATCAGCTCCTTCACTCCCGAGTCCAGCCAGTAACGCTCCCTTTCCCTGCACTTTCCCCCAACTTCCTCTTTCCCTCCACCCCTCCTCTTCTTTCCTCTGCTCACTCAATCCCTCTCCCCCATCACCCTCACCCCCTCCCCCCCACACCCCACACCTTGTTCTCTCACTCCAGGTGAATTCGGCGAAGTGTGTCGCGGGCGTCTCAAGCAGCCCGGTCGCAGGGAGATGGTGGTGGCGATTAAGACGCTGAAGGCAGGCTACACCGAGCGCCAGAGGCGGGACTTCCTCGGCGAGGCCTCGATCATGGGCCAGTTCGACCACCCCAACGTGATCCGGCTGGAAGGCGTTCTGACGCGAAGCTGCCCCGTCCTCATCATCACCGAATTCATGGAGAACGGAGCACTCGATTCCTTCCTCAGGGTAAGCTTGGCGGGAGGTGCGTGTCACAACACCTCTGACGGAGAAGATTACTTTCTGTTTGTATCAAAGCTGAGAGGAACACACACACAGACAGTCATTCACCACACCTCCGGGTTATCGAAATGTTTTACTCTCTGTAAAACACCCTGAGGCGCTCACTTGCTGAGTGATAGAGATTAAATGTGCAATATAACGCCTGGAGACAGGCATAGTGTCTCTGCTTGACGTGACTGACTGATGCTGACAGGCTTTCCAATGCACAAACTCCTGGTGGAAAACTGTCACACGGCAGATCTTTGGATAGGTTTGCGTCAGTGTATTAGAGAGTCTTTGTACAAGTGCAGAATACATTACTGATCAGAGTTTTTGGTTCAGACTACCACCACCTACACAAAACGCTGAACAAAGGCAGGATGAGAAATGAGGTGTCACACAGTACATTTCCAGCTGCGTGGGGGCTTTTACATGTCATTTACATCCAATAAAATGTGTTTTCTCGCATGGCTGCGCTGTGACGAAGTCGACTTTCTGTAGCTGTTAGGCTGAATGAGGTTAATTAATGCTTGTGGGGAATCGATGCCATGCTGCTGCGTTTGAATACTGTTTATCTTTAAGTGAAATTCAGATTCGTTGCATAGCTAATGAGAAATTTAGGGTAGAGTTATCAGTGACATCGATGAGTCTTGACATTGAACGGCTTGCTTTGATATCTCGTTGCTTCAGTGACTCTGGCTTGGGACCTTTCGTTTAGCATTGCTGGTTGTTTTTCTTTACTGATGCAGACACATTTTAGTTGATTCTGTTTTCATCTAGTTGATTGATGAAAATTTATTGACATATTTGATAATTGATTAATTGTGTGAGTAATGTATTACGCAAATTTGACTCTCAAACTTATGAATGCCTTTATCTGTTTTTCATTTTCCTAAATTGGATTTCTTTGGGTCTTGGACAGAAAACAAGTCATTTGAGTCTGTCCACTCGGCATCTTGGAAATGGCAATGAAGATGAACATTCACTGTTTCTTGTTTCTCAAATATAAAGATTTGCTGCTTTTCTCAGTTTTATGTGATTGTAAAACAGTTTACCTGATTGACAGTTTGTTTACACTTTGACAATTAATAAATCAGTCAGAAAAATTATCATCAAATACATAATGAAAAATTGTTAGCAGCCCTACTTTTCTTAATATATATTGCAGTTTTTTCCCAATACTTTGAATTGAGGAGCATAAACTCTTTCAGTATAAATAACATAAAACAAATATTTTTAATAAGCTCAATAAAATGCAGTCTAAATTTCACAAAATTCTGAGTGAAGTTAGTGAATCTATGATTAAAGCACAAGTAAATCAGACAATGAATTGCTAACCCTAACCTGAACACTGAAAACTGATGCTCTGCTGTTTGCAGTACTCTGTGCTACAGATGGATTTCAGTCTGTGCCAAAACATTATTGAGGTTTGACAACAACTTTGGTATTTGAATAATCAGCACTCACAAGTAATTTATCAAGCAACTTTTCTTTTGCTGCTACCAGCTCCTGACATGTGTGGATTGCTGCTTCTCTCTGTTTGTGCAGAGTCAGTGTCTTCAGGTTTTGTGATGTTGCTCAGACAAAGCAAACAGTTTGAAACAGCTGCAAATAAAAATTTCATTATCAGCTAATCTGCTAATTATTTTCTCAAATAATCAATCTTTTATGTAATGTCAGAAGAAAGTCAAAAAATACTCATCACATGAGCCCAAGGTGGCATCTCCAAACTGCTTGTTTTATCCACTCAACCGTTTACTATTTTTACTGCAGATAATTGCCAACGGGCTCTTGAACATTGAAATGTTAGTGGTACAGCTGATATGATAGTCCAGCCAGCGCTTCTTCCCTCCTTCTCACTCACTCCTCTCAGTCAGCTGTCCCACAAATAACACAAAAAAACTCCCCGGCCTGTGCTGCGCTCACCCCCGCTCCCCTGCCTGTGACTCAGAGGAACTCTGAGTTCTGCTCTAATGAAGACACTATAGAGTTAACTCACTCACACAAGCACAAACTGTCCGAGTGTGTCGCACACATGAGAATGCGTACGGCGGTCCCCTGGAGACATTGACACAAACACACACACAAAAACACACACACACATAAACACATATGCACGTGTAGAACTGCAGAAATGAAACGCACACACAGTCATACATACATGCCACCATGGCTTTGAAGGCCTGCTATGAATCATGGCTGTTTATACATCCATCCATCCCGGCTTGTTTTGCTGTCAGACTTCATTGGAGAGTGCAGACTACAAAGCAGAATGTTTATGGTTTTGTCGTGTCACATCTTATGTTCTTAGCTTTCTCATTGTGGAGTCAAAGAAGGGATTGATTATGCAAAAAATTTGTTTTTTTTCCCACCAAATTCTACTTGTATTAAATGTTCAAGTCGTGAAAGAAAACCTCACTGCTGTTTCACTGTGTATTGACATTTTATTGATTAGTTTTAGTCCAACTCTCACACATCAGGTTGCATGAGCCTTCACAGGTTAGTGTGCTGATCTGTTATGATCTCGAGTTCATCCCACTGTGGAACGCTTCATAAACACGGTGAATTCTGAATAAAACCCTGAAAGCCCTAATCTCAGATTTGTTTCATGCCTCTCAAATGTTAACATAAAAGGGCAAAAATCTGCAAATCGTGGACTTTAAAATGGGGAAAATGAGCTTTGAGCAACATGCTGTTCCAATTCAGTTGACAGGCTGATCTTGCTTTAATGTTCACAAGCAAAAAAATAAAATAGAATAAAAATGAAATATGCAAACAAAGCTTTTTGCCTAAAAGATTTAATTTTAACAGGCGTGTGTTGCCTGTACCTGCAACTAATTTGAGAATGGAAAAAAGAAAATACCTGCAGTGGTCTGGTTTTGATTTCAGCTGCTCTGTTGCTTCGCGCTCTTTTGTTTTTGTGTGGTGTCGATATTGAGCCTTAATGGGTTTAGTATGATAGTAAAGAGTCTAATTAATCAGCTAATTGGACAGCATGCGTGAAAAGGTCAGCTGTCAGTGACTGTCAGTAGCAGCCGTGAAGCGCTATGACAGATGTCATGTTTATGTTGCCTCAGTGACTGATTGGCTCTCTGGTGTTTTGCCCTTCTCTTTATCTCCCGACTCTTCCCTATCGTCTGTTTCTCCATATTTCAACGCTCCCTTTTTTTTCTCGTTTTGCTGGTCTCCTTCCTCATTAACTGTCCTCTCTTCTGCTCTCTTCCTGCCTCTCGCTGTGACTGTATTTTTCTAGCTGAATGACGGACGCTTCACGATGACACAGCTGGTCGGGATGCTGCGTGGCATCGCTGCGGGGATGAAGTACCTGTCAGACATGAACTATGTTCACCGAGACCTCGCCGCCCGCAATATCCTGGTCAACAGCAACTTGGTCTGCAAGGTCTCTGACTTCGGCCTGTCGCGTTTCCTTGACGACACCTCAGCTGACCCCACTTACACAAGCTCCCTGGTCAGTATTAAGCGTGTGTGTGTGTGTGCTCTGCTCTTCTGTGTTTGTACACTCTGTGCATGTTTAATTGAGCTTGTTAATTTGATCCCCCTCACTTGTTTCACATGTGCATATGGATGCATGTCTGACTGCTCATTTGTGCCAATATTTGCGTTAGCATGTGAGACCGCCTGTGAAATTTGCATTAGCTTCTGCATGTGTGTGTTCATGCTGTCTCCCAGTGTTGTTGTTATCTGACTGTAGTGTCTCCCAGGGTGTTGATACCATCCCCCTCTGTGTGTGTGTGTGTGTGTGTGTGTGTGTGTGTGTGTGTGTGTGTGTGTGTGTGTGTGTGGTGTGTGTTTGAGCAGGGAGGGAAGATTCCCATCCGGTGGACGGCACCAGAGGCCATCGCCTTCAGGAAGTTCACCTCTGCCAGTGATGTGTGGAGTTACGGCATCGTCATGTGGGAAGTGGTGTCCTATGGAGAGAGACCATACTGGGACATGAGCAACCAGGATGTGAGTTAGCATGACGGTCTCATGTTGCAAACACATGTCTATAGACGAAATGCACACACACAGAGGAGTTCTATGTCTAAGTTTAGGGCCGGCTGAGAGTTTCTCTGAGCTGCTGTGGCTTTGATTTCCAGCGTGACATATTGGACCTGGGCCTGTTCTGCTGTCTTTATCTCCTCATTGCAGATGCTGGTGCAGCTGTGTGCTTGTGTTCTACTTTTTACCACCTTATTTACAGCCCTATCCTGCCCACCCTCTACAAATCCATACTGCAAAGCCTCCCCCCTCACACGCACACAAAGGCATACCCAGGAAAGGCTTTTTTTTTTTTTTTTTTTTTTACAGGCGTTGTTACCTGTAGGCTATCTGCACTGCACAGACATCATAACTACAGCAGTGAGCATGCAGGAAAGAAAAAGAAATCTCTTGGTTCCTCCTCCCTGAACAAAGTACTGAAGCAACGTGTACACCTCCACTTTATTCTCAGAGGAATATCTGCTCTGTATTGTGCTTCAAAAAGAGAGTTGTAACACTGATAGCAATAAAGCAAAAAAGGAGCCAAAATGAAAAACGCCAGTAATGTATGTATAACTTTCATAACAAAACCCACACGCAGTAATGAAAGCATCAAAGTAGAGGCCCTCTATTGTTCCCAACAGCCTTTGTGCCACAGTCATCGCTCAATAAGCAACAGAGTCAACAAATACGAGATATAAACAGAGGTAGTCGCAGGCTACAAGCACGACATAAAAATCAAAGGACAAGCAGCAGGAGAAGAGGAGTGCGGCAGAAAATGCTTTATTGTTCCCAAATGGCAATTTTTTATTGTTGTGGGGAGTTAAAACCCATACAGAGCTTATGGAGGGAAATGCAGTTGCTAGGCAAAATCAAATCAATGAGTGAGCGTTTTCATCCCCCACTTATTGTCTCTCCTATCAATCATGCCAGTTTTGAAGTGACAACTTTGATAACACTTGAGCATATTGTTTTTATAGTTTTGTAAAGATACTGAAAGGAAGATTGGAATATGTGACAGCATGAGTCGAGGAACTGCCTAATGTAGGACATAATATGCTAACTGGGGATTATTCTTCCGCCGCACTCACAAAGGCCAAACACAGTGAGCAATAATACAAATGAGTCAGAGCCAAGTGTTAGCACTTTGAAGAAGCACCACATGAAATTTGATTGAATCCTTGTGTGCAAGATATTCTGGGTCAATATTTAGCGTGAAATTTAATGTTCATTTCGATGTGTTTGCGTTTTTGGCCGTGCTAGTGGTGTGGTTTCATGGATGCTAATGTCTGTTGACCTTTTTTCTTTTTTCAGAGTTAAATATTTTTACAATTATGAAACAGTTTGGGGTAAAATTTGACACAGATATTCATGGTACCCAGTGGATGAACTGTAGTGACTTTAGTGATCCCCCGACTCTTTGAAAAGGTTTGGCTGAGGACGAGATACGCCCAAAATTAATGACATTCCTATTTGGAGCCAATTAGCAAATGCTAGTCATCCTAAACTAAAACGGTTAACATGGTAAACATGATGGTAAACAACATCAGCATGCTAAAACTATCACTGTGAGCATGTCAGCAGTTAGTTGATGTTAGCATTTAGCTCAAAGAATCACTGTGTCTAAGCACAGCCTCACTGAGCAGCTAGCATGGCTGGTGACTCTTGTTAAGACTGATTTCCTGTTGCTCAGGTCATGACGGCAGTAGAGCAGGACTACCGGCTGCCCCCGCCCATGGACTGTCCCATGGTGCTGCATCAGCTGATGCTGGAGTGCTGGATGAAGGAGAGGAACCTGAGGCCCAAGTTCTCGCGCATCGTCAGCACCCTGGACAAGCTGCTCCGCAATGCCGCCAGCCTCAAGGTGGTGACCAGCACCAACTCAGGGTGAGTCCATATACAGGACCAGTTTAAAGGTGTCAGTGAGCTTGAAACAAACTGGTTCGTATGAGGTATCGTCCTAACAAGAGGACCTGAAGTTTGAACAGTGTTTATGGCTGTTCAGAACAGCCACAGTGAAAGGTGGGGGTTAAAAACCAACCACCAGGGAGATAATTGGTAATTGTTCAAGTGGTAATAACGTCACACACTTTTAAACGTTTAAAAAGTTGCACTCATTTTATATGAAATGTCAGTTCAAACCCTGCTTCCTTTCTCACCTCCACCAATCGCTGCATGAAGTGGGCGAGCTTGTTGAATTGTCACTTTCAGACAGTTACAGAAATTGATTGATGCAGCCCCCCCCCCCAATTCCAACGTCAGAAAGATGTGGGTGGAGGGGGTTTTAGATGCCGTTCAACCAATCAACAAGCACCTTGTTTGAAGCAAACTGACACCTTAATCCTTCACTTACAGATGGAAGTAGTTTCCTCACACACTTTTCTTAAGTAAAGAAAGATTCATGTCATGCCATTTGTGCCTTTTAGCTTTGTTCTCAAAGTGCCTCTCGCACACTGAAGTGAATGGGGAGAGAGTGAAGTGTTTGCTTTTGGAAATGTGCTATATCTTACTTCTTTTCAGAAGGAACAAAGAACTTCACAGTTGCCACTTTGGCAAGTTTATTGTGAGATTTAGCAACTTTTCAGACAAACTTTCAGAGTTGACTTTCTGAGTAGCTGCAGCAAAAGAGCTTAGTGGGTTTCTATACTGTTGTAACAAATGGACGTTCACCTGCGAACATCTGACATCTGAGGACTCTCAGTTCACAACAGCAACCAGAAGAGCTAAAGGCAGAAGCTCATGGTAGAAATTTTATAATATTTGGTCACAAATTTGCAGGAACTTTAATCATTAAGTCTGCAATCTTGGCTGTGCTGTTGCAGTTTGTTGCTCTGCTGGCTGACTTGGCAGCCACTGCAGACGACCTTTGTTGAAAATATATGCATTATGCTGCTGGTTTTCCCACATAGGCACAAAATGCTTTTGAGGTTTTTCTACAATAACAGCAGAAATAGTGCAAACACAAAAAATTGGGTGATGCAATTCCTTCTCTTTCACCTTGTGTGAAATTGTCCCCTGCACTGTATATGACAGCTGTGAAGCTGAGGATGAAGACTCCTCCCGGGGCAGAGACGAGCAGTGCTATGCCTCTGGGTTGTTGGAATAAGATGTCACAGTAAAAAAATTATGGCTGGCCTAAAGAGAGGCACAACAAGGTTCATGCTTGTTGGGTCTGGTTTGTTTTTTCTGCTTGTGCTTGATTTGGGAGGATACTTCTCACAGCTGAAGGGTTTTGCTGCCAGATAGACGCCTGCCTCTTTTTCACTGACACTTCCCTTGGAAGTGAAGAAGTTGACTTATTCATAGGTAGATGTCCTCGCCTTCTTTCTTGCAGTGACTCCAAATGTTTCAGCCGTCTTTCGTTTGTTCTGAATTTTGTTAGCCTGGCATCCAGTCAACAGTATGATTAGTGCTGGTTTAGATGCTAGATTCTCAGCTCTGTAGTGATGTATAATGAATCAAACACACATCTTCAACTCTGTAGCTCTGACTATGCGATTGTTCCTGTTTCAGGCACAAAAGGCAGAATTCATACATACAGTTTCCAGGTCTTGTGCCAGCTCCTTGGCTCACAGTTTCATTCTAACACCGAGCCCCAAGGGCAAATCCTACGCCAGGATTTGGGCTCAGTGAAGCTAATTGTGTGTGGAAATGTAATGGCTGACCTCAGTTTAATTCCCCTATACTTGGCTGGATGCTGGAATATAGGTGATAGGACAGACAGCAGCCAGAGCTGCTGATGTGGAAAAGCAGGAAGTGATGAAGTGTGAGTAATAAGGGAGATTGAGGAGAAGCTAAAAGAGAGGAATGTGTTTAATTAGGTTGCTAATGAGCTTTTTAATGCATCAGGGGAGGGCGCGCCCGATGCTGTGATGGGCGAATAAGAGGGGGGTATTTGTGTGTGTGTGTGATGCTTGTGTGTGTGTGTGCATGTTATGCTACGTGTCGCTGTGTGCAGATGACATGCCAATGATTAATTTATAGCCTCATCTGTATGCAACAGCAAGAGAGATAGACGGAGAAGGAGCGGGAGGAAGAGAAGGAGAGAGAAAGGATCATGTTGTCAGAGCATGATTTAGAGAGCGTCTCCTGTGTTTGCGTGTGAGGCGGCGAAATGCTCGATGCTGCTCGATGCTGTTCACCTGCCATTGGCTGTTCAGTGATGTTGGGCCAGATAACGAAGGGAGGGGGAGGATATGAGATGCAGCGCTATCTGTAGAGTATCTTCAGCCACGAGGGCCTCAAAAACAAGGACACTGGCCGAGGAACAAAGGACACTGAGGCTGCTGCGCTTTTTCCAAGATAGCTGAGAATATGTTGAACTTTTATTAGAACTGGAGATGTGATGAATAGATTTGGCTTGTCATTTGAGCTGGACTTTGTTTACAGCAGCTGGAGCTTTGAGCATATTCTCATGGTGCTGCTTTTTTTTTTTATTGTTTATAAACATGAGGTGTTAGGTGCATATACTACGCAGAATGTAGCTACACTGACGCTAAGATGGATTAGACCTTTATCCACCTTCACTGAGATCACTTAGCGCAGTAATAATGAGCTGTATCTTTAGTTTAAAGTGTGTGTCAACCTGCTGCTGACCTGTGTGGCTTTGCGTTGGCAGGGACCTGCTGCGGCTCGGAGGGACGCTGCCGGGACACAACAGAAAGAGTCCGGACAGCAGTCAGGAAATCGTTCGGCAACAGATGAGCCAAACTCTCCCCATCAGAGTGTGAGCTGCTGCAAACCGGAGGATACAGAACGAATGATTAAAAACTACCTAAAAACTCTGATGCAAAGAGCCTGATGTAAAATAAAAAGAAGAAAAAAGAAGGAAGCTCCAGCTACAGAGACCGAGGACCGTTTTTTTTTTGGAGATTTCTTTCTGACTGGAGATTTAATGTCCGAACTTTCCATTGCAGTGTGTGTGTTCATTACTTGACACTTGTGGATTTGTGACTATTGACATAAAGCCAAACTTCCTATTGCCCCCTCTCAGGTTGTGTTTGCATGTCTGCATGTGTTTTCTGCTGGTTGGGAATCAATCCTTCCCTCTCCTCGCCCTCAGACTGAGGCTGGGAGAGCTCACACAGATGATAGGATTCAGTGTCTAGATTATACAACAGTGCCAAGATAAAGCAAGCATTTGCTTAAAACAGCTCAACATCTGTAGACCTTCAATCCAATCAATCTTTTTATTTTTATTTTTTTTATTTTTTAACCCAACCAACAATGTTCTTTTATTTAGCTTTTTTAGAAACAAAAAAAAACAACAAAAAAACACAATTTTCATCTGCTTCCTCTTAAATACTGTCTTCCACATGTACTGGGAGATATACGTGTTACAAATCTGTACAAAGCATCTGAGTCTTCACACCGTCTCTCTCTGTCCGTCAGAGGAGAGATGTAACTGACACTGTGCGGGACACATCATGTGCATGCCAAAGTGGAAGCTTCTTCATGAGAAAAGTACAAATAAGTTCCACATTAACTGTTGCTTTGGTGGCATTTTGCTGTATGGACTTTAACGTCCATGTTTTCTTAATCTTATTTGATTCATATACGCATTGTTTTGAATGCTAAGTTATTATCTGTTATTGCAAAGAGGTGTGTTTTTCTTTTCTTTTTCTTTTTTTTAAAGTACCTGGGGGCTTGACTTTTTTATTACGATGCTTGTTTTTTCACACATTAACAAACCAGACAGACATGAATGAGTGAATTAAGGAGGAAACATTCTGCGCAGACAGAAGAATAACCTTTAAAAACACTGAGGAGACTTTGTCGAGATCGCTGTTAGACCTTTTTTATTTTATTTTTTTTATGAAAAGCGCCCGTGGAAGTGCTGTGTTGTATATTTTACTTTGGCAAATGTGTTGCAGATCAGCGAGAATTAAAAAGGTCACTATCCAGATGATAGCTTCGTGACCTTAATATTGACCTGACCTACAAACACTGATGTAGAACAAATCACTCATTGGTTCATTTCTCCTGACATGTGTTTTCTTCAGCACGCCGGCTATCAGCGCAGTTCCTATTTAAAACAACTGCCTGTATATAATACTATATTTCTATTAGACCAATCCGCTCAGCATTTACAACTATCTGACCTGACTTTGGCCTCTCTATGACCCTCGTTTATATGCTTGTTTGTTTATTGTGGAGGAGCAAACAAATGGAGAAATTACAGTTTAATGGTCATTACATATCTGAAACTATATGTCACAATGAAAGAAGAAAATGAAATGTGTGTCTGTTAGGACAGACTTTTTCCTGTGCAATTAAAGGTGTATTAGATTGTAAAAAAAAATGCCAGAAAACTAGAACAAAAATAAGCATTTCTCTTTCAGTATTTTTACGATAATCATATGCAAATAAATTATTAAATGGATCTCTGGTATTCTCTTTGATTTTTCGGCGGGTTCACTAGGCTGAAGTTCCAGGTCTCCTCTCATCCGGCCGAGGGATGAAAAGAGGGAATAGTAAGTGTGTTTTACCTCCTCAGTCAGAATATCACAGCAGCTTTGGATGGACTCATTAAGATTTAAGATTAATCAAAGGCCAGTCCACGCAGCTCGCCAATTAGCGAGACCACAGGACTATTCTGGGGATTTCAGTCTCTGTTGCTGCTGGAGAGGCTTCAACCAAGCAAAGTTAATCTGGCTTCACACCAAATGTCAGTGTTGTTTGGCTTTAATCTGTCAACCAGGACACAAACCGGGTCTCTTTCCATAGCACTACAGATGACTGAAGCTGTCACCTTCTGTTTTTATTGACTGAGAGGAAGCTCGTCTATCGGGAAAGGGGGGAGGGCCCTCTGAGAGTTCATGCTTAACCATTTTTGACTGGCTGCTCAGACAGCAGCTGTATGATCATCCACCAAAGGGAGGACTGGTGTTG